CTCCCTGTCGCTACCTTCGCAGCTTGTTTCTCCTTAAGGACCCTGTATTCATTCATGGCAGCAGCCTTGTCATATGGGCCATCCTACCATGTCTTCATGATCCCAATGAGACTCTAGCCTTGTAACTACACACAGAGTTCTGTTTCCTCCCGTTTGTTGTCCAAGCTACAAGCATTAGTGCGCAGGCACTTCATATAGGCATCCAATCTTGCTGATTCCTAAGAATGAGAGCTTTCCTTATAGTTTTTTTTATGTAGGCCTTTCCTTATTTAGTACATATGCTTGGGATGAACCCACTTCACCTCTGTTTTTTTGACTATGATGTATCTCTTGTTCACAACATCGCACACTGTTTGCTTGCCAACAGAGTCCACTCCTTTGTCAATTGATGTTTGGTTATTTTAGTTTGATGTTTGGTGTTTTCTCCTATTGTTCCTTGTTTCAAACAATTCTTACCAGGCTGGAAAGCCTGTTGGCAAAGATGCTTCTGCCAACTGTAGTCAGGTGGATCCCATCTCTTCCAAACACTCCTTGATTCTCAAGGAGGGTTCTGTGGTCATAGAAAGCAAAACCCTGCTGCCGACACCAGTTCACAGCTGGTTGTTGAGCTGTTTCTTTGCTCCTCAAGCCCTTCCTGCAAACTGGCAAAACTGGGAAGAACACCACTTGGACTTTGATCGTGGCTTCCAGAGCCACATAATCACACATTTCTTTCCAGGTTTCCCTAGGTATATATCTGGTACCAGGTGGAACAGCAGAAGGAGTAATGTAATCCAAGGGCTGAACAAGCTTTGCCAGTCTTTTAACAATGCCATGAATTCAAGCTCCTAGCAAGCATCGATTTTTAGATGAAAAGTGAGTCAGGAGATCCTCCATCCCTTGCTAACACTTGCCACTTCCCTTTTGTGCTGCTATGTGGCTCAGGTTTACTGAACATGAATGATTCATTTGACAGAGCTCCCAGCCCCTTAACTGCAATGAGGGCACTGAATCTGTTCTGTAGTTGCAGAAGAAGTGAAGGTGGGGAAGATGCCTTCCTCCTAGTGAAAGAAAGAGCTGCCATTTCACAGGAAGGAAAAAAGAGGGAAACATAGTCAAATATTTCAAGGGAATGCTTTTGAGCATGTGTAAGTTTAGGAACGTAGAATCCTAAAGATGTGAAGTAGAGAACAGTCCTTCTTCCTGCCTGAAACTTCAGAGAAGAGGTAAATGCTGCAAAATTTCTCTCTGCATGTATTTCTCCTTCTGTGAGGAAGATGAGGCATCACTTAGAAGAATTATCCAGTCTGTATGTATTTTTGCATCAAACTAAACTGATTTCAAGAAATGTCAGCAGTCCTCTTAATTCAGAATAATTGAAGGAATATTTCTGCTGTTTGGATGTATTTTGTTGGTACACAAAAGATGAGACAACACCCCTCCATTAGAAATGGATTTTCTAACCCACCATTTGAATCAGCTCACTTGTAAGTTTTCTGAATTTACAAGTCTGAAGGTAAATACAATATAAATCAGATACTGCTGCTTTTTTTTTTTCTTTTTTTTTTTTAGGATTGGAAAGGTACAGTTCTTTTTTACCTGGTGGAGTGTAATAAGGTGGTGACCTTATAAATGGTGTGTTCAGTAAACTTTATAGTAAGTTAGTATTTCAACATGATCATCTGTGAATCTGTTATCGTAGCATTTAGAAAAAATAGAATAGTGACATATTTAATATGGGTATTTATCTGTCTTGAACTTCTCTAGTTCTTCTGTAGGGCACAGGTTCCACTTAACTTAATGGTGGGCCAACAGTTGATAACTATATACATATTCTTGATTGACTTGTTCAAAGACTAATCAGAATTTGGATCTAAAACATAATACACCTTGACACAAACAAAAATGAAACTTCCGTGTCAAAGGCCCCTCTATAACCTTCGTGACTATTTTAGCCTGGTACTACCATGGCTTGAAATACTGCCTTTCTCCCTGCTTCAGCATTAAGCAAGGATAGCTCTTCTGACATACTGTTTTCAGCTGATGAACTGATGCCCTAAAAAGATATGTACAATACAAATACGCATTTCTGTAACATGATTTTAAAATATTTCCTGTTATAATTGCCAGGCTGACACCAAGTGAGGGAATTCTTTAGTTTACCCAGTTTGTATGTAAAGATTAGCTACAGAATTTAAACTTCTTTCTCTATGCCCTAGGTAATAATTTGAACCTGACAAAATTAGTATTTGGCTGTCTTTCTTTGCTTCAGATTTACCATTTTGCTTGCTTGTGCAATGAATACATTGATTCTCATGCAGAGATTTAGCATAGTATTGCTAAACCTTGGCTGCATTCCTGTTGAGATAAACTGCAAAGTGCAGCAGCAGGCCAGTTGTGGATTGTAAAACAGGAATGATAACATAAGAACAATTTGTGAGAGAAAATACTATTGCCTTTTTTTTTTTTGTACTAAGAAAAGATGGTTCCAATTGATTCTTGAAGTAGGTACCGAGGCTTGCAGAGTAGCCAAACATTGTCTGTTTCCCTGGACACAAAAAATGGGAACATAGGCTAAATGTAGGGATCAAATATAACTGACTGGAAAACTGACCAGGAGCATGTTGGCAAACACATTTTAAGTATTCTTTCTTGAAAACAAAACTGAATTTCACACTAGGAGTGAAAACGTCATTTTGTTCCTTCAAACAGACACCACAGGAAGAATACTTAGTCAGGAATCAGGGAGTGCTCAGTGCTATGAAGCAAGCCTAGAACAGGCTTTTCCAGTCCACCTTTCTTTATATATTAGCAGCACTGGCGCCTTCTCTGTCCCAAGAAAGATAACCATGTAGATGAAAATTCTTGCAGGTATAGAAATGTGTAAGAGCAAGATAGGTGGCTGTTTGAGGTTATTTGGAAAAGTCATGCAGTGATGTTAAATAACACACAGCAAGCACAGTCTAAAACACAAGTCACTGCAAAGAGATGGCATTTGCAGTGAAAACTTGAACAGTTATGGCTTTGATATGAAAACCTATCAACAAGTTAATCTCGATGGACAAATTTATCGTCTTGACTGGAGAAAGAAAGCTTAACACTGCTACTCTTCTACTGAGAAGAGTAAACTACTATTTCTTTAATGCATATTGCTTGCAATTTGGATGTCTTTCAGTATAGCTGCCTCCCATTTAGGATTATTCACCAATAGGTGTTCTTTGAGGCTAGTAGTACTAATAGTTTAATTACATGAAAGTGGGAGGGGAGGATGCTGGCAACTTTTGGTTGCATCAGGACTTCTACTATAGTAAATTAATGTTTAAAAACCAGCTGAAAGCAGATAAATATATCCAGTAAGAATTAAAAAGAAACCCAAACAAGTTCCTTATGAATGAAGAAAATGAAATGAGTGAAGAACTGACAATAAGTGAGGAGAACATTGATGAAAATTGGAAGATGGTGGGGTGATCCAGTGATCTGGATATATTTCCACAGGAGAGTAAAATAGCATTTCTTTTTGAAGATTCTGAAGTTTAAAAGTCTGAACTCTATTGGTTTTAACCTCCACCTTCATAGGAGTCCATCAGTACTTACAAGGTCAGGAAATAGTGGAAACAATATGAAATTAAGACAATAGTTTATGATGAGGAACAATTTCGAAGAGATCCCTAGTTCAGGGAATTAGTTGCTTTAGATATACTGAAAATTTGCACAATGCAGAACTGTAGGATTTGTTGTCAGTGAAAAAAAAAAAGAAGAAATATTGCTTATTCATCAGCTGATTAAAAAAATAAGCTGTGTCTTGTATCAAGTGTGTAGCAGGGGCCAGCAGCTCCTTCCATCTACCTCAACTTCTTGTACACATTGTTCTCATTTTTTGCACTCAAAGTAGCAGCCTATTTGTATGGAGGGGCCATTCATCAGACGTAACAACTCGTGTAGCAGAATTTTCTGTAATAAAACTGCCGGAGGAGGCTGTGAGAAGAAAATGGTGCCAGGGGAATTACTGACACCTTCAGAAGCTTTTCACTGATACAGTGTGTGATATGAAGCGGCAGAAATGTGTGCTATGTAACCAAGCATGAGCCTTTTGCTTACAGATTTAGTTCTTAACAAAAACAGGTGTTGTTAAATCCCTAAAGGACACTTTTTATATCATAAAAGCTTTATCTTTAAATTGCAGGTTAAATTGCCATCAAATTGAATTCTCCAGTGCTAACTGTATTATCTTGGTGGAAGAAATTCAGCCTGTGCTTTCCCATATCTTTTTTTGTATGTGTCTTTAAGATTCACTCTTCATTTGTGTTTAGATGTGAACGTTACTGATCCCTCTGACTAGAACTGGTATGAAATACAGTAGGATAAGATGCCTGTACACAGTCAGTGTTGATGGTTATTTTAGAGTGCTGTACTCCTGGACCAAAGATTGGAAGCAAATAAAATGTTTGAACTGTCTGTGAGTAGCCTGTCTGCTGAAAGTCACGTAGCTTTTGTTGTTTAGAGCAGATGGAAATGCCATAGCTTGCTTCTGAATTGTGTCAGGGGTGTTGTTTTTTTTTTTTAATAGCCTTGACTGTTGTAACTCATGTTTTCAGTAGAACAGCGTAATACCCAGTTTTATCCTACAGTTTTAATTTTTCTTTTCATCCTACTCTGGAGACTGGGTAGTACCAGGTGCTCCTGTTGTTTAAGTTTGTCTGTCGTATGGGCCTTGGTAAATGTAAAAGATGGTATGTATTTTCATTTGTCATCTGTGCATTGTGCCCCATTTAATGAATTATTCCTTTGTAATATTATACATTGCAGCATGCTGTGTATGTTTTGATGCATGCACGAAAACCATGCTTTTGTGTATCGCTGGGGGAATGGAATTTTTGTAAACAGGCATTTCTTAAAGCAGCTCACTGTACAACTGTTAAAATGAGTAATAGTCATGAGTTACACTACATGCTCTGTGGGCTGGTTTTCTTCAGAAGAGTATTTCT